CACGAAGAGTACAACACTCAAACCTTGAATTCAACAGAGACTTCACCAATCCGATTCTTGACTGCAATCCAGGAAGGCTTATGGCTGGGATTTCTGCCGTCAAGCTTCTGAGAGCGCCAACGACAGCCAAAGCCAGTCTCCAGCCCATCAAGCCCATAATTTCCTGCTCTGAGATGGGAACCTGGACAACTTCAAAGGCCAAAGTTAGGCCCAACCAACACCGTTAAGTTCATGACCATTATGACCAACCCAAGTCTTGCAGTCCAATGCCGCCTGGGCCTCTGGCTACCATCAAGCAAGCAATGACTTGACCAAAGTTTGCAGCACAATGAACCTAGCTTCCAGGCTCATGCACTGTTGACTTCAAGCCTGCTGTCACAGTCCAAAGCCCGCTAGGGACAAACATGTGTTGACACTGCGAGTGCTCAGGTGCCTTGCCACAAACCTGCCCAACATTCTTTGAAGTGGTCAAGTCCTTGGCGTCATCTATCTCAAGAGCACAGAACCATACAGGGTTGGGCTCATGCAGCTACATCGATCTTTTGTAAAACATCTCTCGGCAGTTAGTTGGCTTAGCTTGGCACTGCAATGAAGGATTGCACCACTGGCCAAAGCATGGAAAGTGCTGCCCCGTTCAAGAGACGTAGCAGCAGCATTTCCCAAACTTTGGAAGTAAACCTCAGACGGATTCCACTGGATTCCTGCCAACACCAGTCCGGGTGATGATTGCGTGGTGTAGTATTGCAGAAAAAAAGAGACACTAAACGAAATAGGGCCACGTAGCTTCAAAACAACGTATTGTCACATTTGTCATCATGTGCGGTAGTGATCTTCGGTGATCTGTGGCGATTTGTGCATTTCGGTGGCCTGAGCGTTGGTACAACATTGATACTGAATTGGACCCCACGTTGCGTACGGGGCATGAGGAAGGGGTGACGACTGAGGTCTTTCAATGTTCTCTCGAGGTGCCCGCCAAAATACAATCCTAACTAAAAAACCAAGCAAGGGAAGGGCCCCGCCTTGGGCTAGATTGATTAGATCGAATTTTACGAATGATTGTGTTGGATCTCCATATGTATCATTGCGCCAAGTTACGCTAGTTGAAACGTGCAAAGCCCCCAAAGCCCTGCGCCAACCTAAAGAAGCATGGGTGAGGGCTAAACGCCAAAGGAACATTTCTTAGCTGGACAAACATCATCCATCCGCTGCATCCGCACCTTCAGCAAGAGCTTCCTTGAAGCTCCGCAGTCCACCAAATTGCCCCATATTGGGCCTGTGACTGCGCAGGCCACCCCCTGACAAAGCCGAGGGCGTTGCAAATCTAAAGAACTGACTGCGGCCAAGGGAGACCAAAAAGAAGTAAAACTTTGGCAAGACAAACACTACAGCACGATCACATCCCTTCCATGAGCTTGGATCATACTGCCTGAAAGTCTCCCTGAGGACACCCGTGTTTTTGCCACTTCGATGTTTTGGCTCCCTTTACAAGAGCTTCAAGAATGAAAAAGTTCTGGTGGCCCTTGGCTTGGCAAGTTTGGTATTCACAGCCCTGGGTGCGACTTCCAGAACCAAAAGGGCGCAAAAAAATGCAGCGCAATGCTTCGACAAATGTACTGATGTACTGCACTTACAGCCCCAAAGAAATCGCACGGAAGGCAACTCGCTTGGAATTTCGGCATCGCACGGTAGTCCAAAAAGGATCACGGTTGCAGAATGGTTGTTCTCGTCGGAGGGGGAAACGCCAGGTGCTGCAAAGGCATGGGGCAGCCGTGATCGCAATAGTGTGCCATCCAGTGAAGTTTAATGGCGCAAAAGTATGAATTTACGAACCCTGGCCTTACTACTAGGAACAAGGACGCTACTATTTACGAACCATACAGTCAGCGACTCCAGAGACACAGGCCGCCAATCCGAACAAAAGCACGACACGCTTTGTGAGATTTCTCACCGGCTGGACCCAAATATTGAGGTCGGGGGCGGAGCTTCTGTGACCCTTTTTGCGGGTCGACTCCTTGGAAAACACTTTTTGACTGAAAGGGTCTATGCCATACAACTTAAACTTATGAGATGCATTCTAAGAAGCAAAAAATGTCTGCTCCGACGAACCAAGGATGATCTCTGGCACCTGACACAAGGCCATCACGCCCAGTATGTGAGGCTTTAGGCCCATCTCATGCTCCATCGCCCGAAACCTGGGCAAACACGGATGACATTCCGCTTTTGTGTGGCAAGCACGAATATCGTTATTGCGGGCTCACGGCAAAAGAACCCCTTCTTCGCGCCCAAACGCTGGCCGGGCAACGAAGATGGAAGCAATTGTAGATCCGCCCCCCTTCAGTGCAGAAAGCAAAATAAGGGCCGCCAGCGTGCCCACACTGGAGGTCCTTTCAAGGCAGGCAACGATCCTGCGCTTGCGGGCTGCAAGAATGTTCCACTCCTGGCATCATCGCCCTGCATTCCTGGACCTCAAAGACACGAGACGCAGCTTGAAAAAGTGGCTGTTGCATCTCAGACTCTCACCCCAGGCCACATTTGGCCCTGGATCCAGCACGGAACTGAAGCCGAAACAAAGGCAGTGCAAGTCACCCCGAGCAAGTCTTGTGCATGCGGTCTTTCAAACAAAGGAAGTGCAACAACTGAAAACTATTTTGCGTCAAAAAATGGGAGGGCAATGAGGTTGACGGTCGGCGTGACAACCGCTCTGCTTGCCTCCACCCCCTTGTTGCAAGGTGGTCTAGGCGCTCGACGGCTTAACGGCTCAACCGTGCAAAGCAGGCGCTAAGCAGGTGCCTTCCGTGGCTTTGAACTTCACAAGCCCTCAACTTAGGCGAAAGCTTTGAAAGGTCCTGTGGGTCTGTATGAAAAACAAATCCCGATCGAATGCACCGACTGTCGTGAAACACCTGTGCTAATTCGCACTGGAAAAAACACTAGGGTGACACAGAGTGAAACTGTTTGAAACAATGGTCTAATCTTTGCATCTTGCACCGTTTTGATTAGGGCATCATCTCATACGCCTAAATCCGAGCAACAGGGCCGAGACCCAGCCATCAGCTGACTTCAGCATGTGGAAAATCTCTCGGTCTCGGACTGGGCTCCAGTTTGCAACTGCAAGGCGTAGTGCATCTGCCACCTGCTCAAAGAAGCTGGAAGACTCATTTGAGCAGAGTCTTTTTTACTGTGTAGGCAGGGTATTCTCATTGAAGGGCACCTACGCCAAAGCCTATGGCTCGACTACATTTCCACACGACGACATGCATACCCAGTACCTTTGCCCACGGAGCACCCTACGAACGTGAGGTTGTGGTCCAATATTGCTGGTTCGTGCCTACGGTGGCAGTGAGAACTTGTTTTGCATCCTTGCCGTGTTTACAAGCAGGCGATCAAGCAGCAAACCTGCCAATCTTGAGGCGAGGAAGAGCTGAAAATGTGTTTGAACTACTAGCATTGCAACTGCTAGCACTAGGAGTTGGAGACGTGGTTAACCTACTAGCACGATTATTGCTACTGCCACTCCTGCTCCTACCGCTGCCCCGGCTACTGCAAACACTACTCCTACAACTACTATTCCGACTCCGACTCCGACCCGACTCCGACTCCCACTCCCACTCCTACTGCTACTGCTGCTACTACTACTGCTACTCCTCCTCCTACTCCTCCTCCTACTACTACTTCTTCTACTACTACCACCAAAAAAACACAACTAAGCACGCCATGGTGCAAATCACTAAACACATATCAAAAGTTTGTAGTCGCTATGTGCTAGACTAGTTTCTGAAAGGAATTCTTCGTCCGAACCCTCACTGCCTCAGGAAACAGTTCCCTGTGCAGTTCTTGCACTTGTTTCAGCAGGGGGTCAAAAGGACTGCCAAGTATTAAATTGCTGGAAAAGAGTTGCCAAGTGCCAGCCTAGGCATTGCCCTGGTCTTATCGAAACTGTAGCATTTATTAAGCATCTAGGTGCTGGCTCAAAGGGAGCTATGGGATGTTATTGGAATGTCAGGCATGACACAACATTGGTTCAATGCACCGTGCATTGTGGTGGTGCTTCCGAGTCATTTATATATATATATATACTGCAACGCATTTTGTCATGTCCCGCAGCCGTGTGAGCAGTTTGTCCACGAAACGGGATTCTGCGGTTCCCCATCCACATGAGGCCCAACGGCAACCCAACAGCTGAAGGCTCTCACCTCGGCCCCTCCAACATTTGCGAATAAGAGGACCTCGCTGCAAACACCGACAAAGCAAGAGGATCCCAACAAGTGCGTTTGATGTTTGGACTTCTTTGGACGGTCACTCTTGGCTCAGTTGCCAACGCCCCAGCTGCTGGGACTTTGGAAGGATCCAGCCTTGCGACCTGCGCATCAAACCACGCGCTGCCATCAGGAACGACTTTCGGAACCGTTTTCCAAAGGGAACCGAATTGAGTCAATGCCCAATTCTAGAATCCATCTAAAGCGCAAAGCAGCCTTCTTCTTCTCAAACTTTGCATGAATGTACCTATCTCCTCAGCAAAGCAGGAAAATGTTCTTCCCCTAAAGGCCATGCACTGCAAAATGTCAAGTCCCGGACCAGGCTTGTGCAGATTTGGCTGTGGCGGATGCAAGCCAAAGGTGCAACCCATTTTGCGGCTCATCCTTAGTCCATCTGAAAGTGCATAGACCCTTTCTTTGTGGTCTCACAAGCACAACAATGGTTTCCCAATTCTACAGCACCCCAACTCCTTAGGATGTGCAGGCCAAGGGCGTTATTGAAACTGTGTGCCCATGCGTCGCGGGTGTTTTGAATCACTCTTTCTTCCTAAGGACTGCGAAGGAAGAGCTGCCACGAGGACAAATGGATAGCGGTTCTTTTGATTAGAGCGCTCATCTCTGCCTCTGTGAGGCACTGAAACTGCGCTCTACAAAGCGCTGTGAACTGGTGGAGTTTCTGCAATATTCCGCAATTCACTTTGACAACCACGGCCGGGACTATCTTTGCATCAAATGAAACAAGTTGGTGCCAGCCCCCAGTTCACACAGCACTTCTTTGACAAAGCATGGTGATACTGTGCAAGTAAATCATCTTATACTAGAACAACACGCTATCCAAGAGTATTTAAATCAATAGCACCTTGCCTCAAACAATTTGTCCTGTCTCGTCTGGCTTTCAGTAGTCCAAGTTCAGTTCAACTGGGGTGGTGCATCCTCAAATTCCAGCATTTACAAAAAGACATGAAAGGAATGCAGTACTTGAGTATTTCGGAGATCGGAAGAAACACAAGGCCTCATCCACGGTCTAAACAAGTTATCTGTGAGGATACCTTGAGAGAGGCCCGCATCATGGAGGCAAATAGCATTAAACAAGTCAAGCCAGAGCAAAAAGGCAGCCTGTGAGCCTCATTAAGTGCCTGCAGGGCTACGGGTTGTGCCCCATCTCTGCATCAAGGAGCTGTTCCATTTCCTTTCAGAGACCGAGGGCGAGGAAAGCGGCGATTGTGTTACAAACTGCAAGGTGCACATTCTGCTACGCCATGTCCTGGATTCTCGGCGGGTTTCTGGCCGCATAGCCCTGGGGTGAAGAATTATCGGATCCTTGGTTTGTCTCCACTCCACGGAGCTGAAGAGCTCAACCTAAGGTCACGGCCTTGAGGACTACCTCTGTTTGCCTGGGCGGCACTCATGCCAAGGCCCTCAGGCCCTGCATTCAGCAACATGCATTTCAGTCTCTGTGCATACTGCAGCCCGGGGGCTATTGCATCTCCATAATGATCAGTCTCACGCAGCTTGCCACGAACATGACCGCGCATTCCCGGGCAGCAAATTGTGGTGCACCCATATCCTGCAAAGGCCGCAGCAACGCAAGCCCAAGCTTGAAACAGCATTCAACAAGCACACTGCTGCCAAGCAGCTGTCTAGCAGGGATAGCAGACCAACCTCAAGTCATTGTATGTGATGTGATGTGATGTGATGTGATGTGATGTGATGTAATGTAGTGTAGTGTAATGTAATGTAATGTAATGTAATGTATGCATGGATGTATATATGTATGTATGATCAGGATCATGATTATGATCATATATGCATGATCATGTATGTATGATCATGTATTTATATCTCTCTCTCTCTCTTTCTCTTTGGTTGGCACGTTGTCACTTTGTAACCAAGAAAGGGGTCAATCTGTTTGCTGTAATGTTTTGGTGGATTGTCCTCTTTTGCAATCTTGGTCGTACAGAATCGCTTGTTTTCGCCCAAAACAGCTTCCCGACACATCATGACACAATGAAAATCCCAGTCCCAGTTGGGCCAATGCATTTCTCACAGTAGCTCAAGCTACGACCAAGCTTGTCAAAGGAGTCTTCCAGTCTTCTTTGTCACACCCGTCACCGTCTCTCTCACTATATAAGGGTCGTACAAAGGCCAAAGCAGAGCCCAAAGAGAAATAGATCCTGCTATTCGCATTGAGTATGTTCACATCAAGTGCCACTGTTGTTTGGCTTGCTATTGGTGGATCAGTCGTATTGACCATCAGTTTATTTATCATTGGCATCGTCATGCTGAGGCATTGGCAGGGTCCAAAGCCAATCATGAGGCCTGAATCAAGAGATCAGTTGCCACACTAGGTAGCTGGCGACCTAGTTGAACTGCGTTCGACCATCTTCACAAGTAGGTCTCCAGCATCATGAACATGTTCAGTGTACCGACGAAGAAGTAGAAAAGAGCACGGCCTGCGAGGAAAGCACATGAACACAACTATATAATAGTTAAAAGCAGTGAAGAAAAGCAGCAAAAGCTGCAATCAAGCTCTTGCTTTCAAGCTTCTTGGCCTGTACGGGACGCCAAGAATGCGGCCCAGCTGAAAAGAACTCGTTGAAGCTTGTCCCACCTCGATGCCAAAAAAAGATTGAAAATGTGCTCATTTTGCCCGAAGATTGGCTGCGGGACGCTCCGCACTGGCAGTCCATCTCTGTTGGGCCCTCCATTATCTTAGCGGCAGTGTGGGCTGAAAGAAACGTGCAAAGCATGATGGAATATATAGAAGCACAGAGTCTGAGAGATCTACCACAATCACGCATGCCTGGGCACAAGGCAGCTAATAGCTAAACCAAAGCTACGCATCTGTTTGAGCAACCGGTGGGTGAAAGATCTTTCGTTACACACTCCCAATTCAACAGCAGAATGGTCACAGGCCCACCACAAGACTCTGCGGTTGGTAAGCGCACGGCAAACGCCAGGTTGTAGGAATTCAGCAAGTAGTACAAAGGATGCGAAAGTGCATGAAAGACGTTGAATAAGGAAAGCCTCGGAGTCTGGGTGTGGACCTAATTGGAAGACAGAAATCGGCAGAGTACAATGATTCTGGGGCACAGGCATGGACACCACAAAAAGTACCAAAGAAACCACGAAAGCCACCCCCTTCACGGTCCACGCGCTCGACTGCCAGCAACTCAGTCTTTCCCACAGCATCACTCTACAATCACGGATATGTATAAAATTATATATATATACGTGCCTATATGTGTGTAGGGTCCAGAGCAAGCAGGCCTCAGCGTGAAGATAGATGTGGATGGCTGCCTTCTTTGCCAACTGTGCCCCTTTGTGCACGGCTTGCCGGCCTCAGAAGGTCAGCACATCCCCTCCCAAGCCGACCAAAATCACCACCAGAAGCCAACAAGACACACAAAGCCACAATGCATATATAATTGTGTAAGCATTGCCACGAACAAAAGCATCCACACACTGCACCACAATTGCAAAAAGAAAACGATGGTCATGGGCAAGTCTTGATTGAAGGCAAGCCTTTGGGCGTGCAAGTGTGCGTGTTGGTCTGTTTGTTTTCTTGTAATGTGTTCAGAACGCACGGTTTCCAAGTGATTTGTGTGCTTCCCCCCAGCCATGATATACAGCAGCAACTAGCCACGAGGGCCTCTGCATCGTCCAGGGCTCCGTTTGGAGCTGTTTGGAGCAGGCCGTGCCCCAGGTGGTTCTAACTGATCCCGTTCGAGTTCGGGTTCGGGTTCGGGTTCGAGGGTGGACCAGTTCGAGTTCGAGTTCGGATCGACAACAATTAGAGCCGGGGGGGTGGACCGGTTCGAGTTCGAGTTCGAGTCAGAGCCGGGGGGGTGGACCAGTTCGAGTTCGAGTTCGGATCGACAACAATTATAGAGCCGGGGGTGGAGAAGTTCGAGTTCGAGTTCGAGTTCGGATCGGCGACTAAGGGACTTATAAGGGGGGTGGACCAGTTCGAGTTCTCCTCTCCTCTCCTTCTCCTTCTCCTTCTCCTTCTCCTTCTCCTTCTCCTGCTCCTGCTCCTGCTCCTGCTCCTGCTCCTGCTCCTGCTCCTCTCCCCCTCTCCCTCTCCCTCTCCCTCTCCCTCTCCCTCTCCCT